TATATAATTTTTTTGGATACAGGGCCTTGCTATCCTGGCTTTAAACTTACTATTGACCCCCCCAGGCTCCCGGCGCTGGGCCTGCAGGTGTGCATTACCACATGGAGCTTGAACTATACATTCTGAAAGCGTGCATTTCATGGTATATGAGTCTCATTCGCTGAAAGTCCAATGAAGCTGGTTGTGGTGGTGCACCCCTGGGAGACAGAGGCAGGAGGGGTGCCATGAATTCAAGGCCAGCTGGGATACATCTCAAGACCCTGTCTCAAAAATTTTTTTTTGGCCAGATATGGTGGTGCACACCTATAACCCCAGCAAGAAAGAGGTGGAGACAGGAGTACCACTGTGAGTCCAAGGCCAGTCTGAACTACATAGAGTAAGACCCTGGTCAATAAAATAAAATAGCATCTGAAGTCCGGTGGGGTGGCACATGATATCAGCTCAGTACTCAAGGGGGCTAAGATAGGAGTATCAGTAAATCTGAGCCCAAGCTAGGCAACTTATGGCCTCAGTCAGACCCTGTCTTAAAAAAAAAAAAAAAATGCCAGGCATGCTGGAATCCTAGCAATTAGGAGGCTGAGGCAAGAGGTTTGCCAGGAATTCCAAGCCAGCCCGAAGTGTATAGCAAGACCTTGTCTTAAAAAAAAAAAAGGGTGAAGTGGAGGTAGGAGGCTACCAGGAGACCCCAAGATACCAGGAGAAAGGACAGGGCAGTTCCAGGCGTCTTTTCTGTCTGGGACAGACCAGGCCACAGGGCCTCACCTGTACCTTCAGTGCCGACGTCTTCCGTTTCAGACCGCTGTTGTCGCTGCTTTTATCAGAGTCTGAGTCACTCTCCATCCTGTCGCTGGCGGCTGCGGCAGTTACAGCTGTGACGGCCATGACCCCTCGGTCCTCCTCGTCCTCCTCAGCGTCGCTGCCACCCGCAGGCTCAGCCTCGGGGGCCTCGCTCTCAGAAGAGCTCAGTGGCTTTGGGTGGGGAGGGACCAGAGACTGTGTCAGCCCAAGTCTTGGGTGGGTTTCCCCAGGCAAATGACCCAAGGACAGCAACCCCCTTTGAGGACTCAAATGTCAGGGTCTGTCTTCTTCACTGTACAAAGGGGAAACCCCACAGAAGGAGGAAGGGGGGTGGATGGAGACCCAGCAGCAGGCACAAGCACACAAGGCCACGAGAGTCAGGCTTAAACCTGGCACAAGTGAGTGCAGCTCCTCTGTGCCTCAGTTTCCAAAGCTGAGCAAGGGGGATAAGAGTTTCAGCCTCACAAAGCTGCAGCAAAGAGAAAACAGGCTGTACACAGAGCAAAACCTACACTATGGCAACAGGCCTATAAATGTTTGCTTTTCTAAGACTTTTTCTCTTTTTTTTTTTTTTTTTGTAGAACCGGGGACTGAACTCAGGTCCTTGCCAGGCAAGCACTTATTCTACTGAGCCATCTCCCCGGCCCCTCTCTTTTCTCTTTTTGAGACAGGGTTTCACTATGCAGTTCAGCTTGGCCTTGGACTTGCAGCACCACTCCTGCCTCAGCCTCTTGGGTGCTGGGATTACAGGCACATGCCACCACGCTGGCTAAAAATCATTTTTATTTGCTTGGTTTTTGTGTAACAAGGTCTTGCTATGTGCTTCAGGCTAGCCTAAAACTCACTGGGTAGCCCAGAACAGACCAGAACTTGTGGTAATCCTCCTGCCTCAGCCACCCAAGTGCCGGGATGACAGATGTGCACCACCATGCCCAAAACAAAATCACTCTTAAGAGGAGGAAGCGATCCTAGGACAGGATCTCTTGAACTTCTGTCTACCAGGTACTATCAATAAATGTGTCCCTTTGGTTTTTGCAGTACTGGAGGACCGTAAAGCCACTGAACCAAGCCATTTTTATATTTTTTATTTTGAAACACGGTATTGCTAAATGGCCCAGGCTGGGCTCCAACTAGGACATCCTCCTGCCTCAGCCTTCTGAGTGCTGGGAATATAGGCACCTGGCCACTGCATGCTCATAATCCCAGCACTCGTGAGGCTAAGGCAGGAGGATGGATGAGTGTGCAAGGCCATAGCTGGGCTACGAAGCGAGCTCAAGGCCAGCCTGAGCTGCAGAGCAAGACCCTGTCTCAAAAAGACGACCAAAAGGGAAAAAAAAAGCTTGCTCAGGCTGATACAGCCACAAACAGCTAACATTTTTTCTGGCACATCTGGGCTGGCTGGCAGGCACAGCGGGTGGAGAGCACACAGAAGTGACTGAGGCACAGCCCCAGCCCCGGGAGTTGACAACCTAAGGTGTGCGAGGCTGATTTGTGCACACAGCTGCCACTGTGGTGACAGGCAGGAAGAACCCACCAGGCGTGGGGGCTGTAAGGCAAGCGACCGAGAGGTAGAAGCAGCACTGTGCACTGCATACATGCGTGCACGTGTGTCAAGGAGGCGCCGGGAGGCTGTGACACTGTAGTGGAGGGGCTGTCCCAGCATGTGGGCTCCACGCGCCCGAGAGCACAGCTGCTGTGCACAAGGTCCCTCTTAGCAAGCAGAGGAGGTGGAACTGCAGCGGTGCAGAGTGAGCGGAAGCCAGTGAAGAGGCGGGGTATCAGGCTGGGCCGGGCCATGCGCAGCGCTCCTGAGGCTCTCAACTCGACCAGGCAGGTGAGCAGTGCCGGCCACAGGGGCTCGCTTGCGCCCGTCCCTTTGGAACTGGATCTGGATGCTCTGTGTCTGCGGGAGGAAAAGGCACAGGCCGCCCTTCTCGGCACTCAGCTACCAAACCTCGAGGAGACCTACTATGTGCCCAGCCCAGTCCAGACATGCAGCTCTCCTCTTGGGACAGACTCGTGAGCATAGTTACAGTGCCGCAGAAGGGGCGGCGTGCTGGCTCCCGGGGGCACCGAGGCACTGAGCACGACGCAGTCAGCCACGCCGAGCGCCAGCCCGGCTGAGGTATCTCCTGGTACTTCTTCTCAGTCCTCCCAGCACTGGAGGAGGCTGAGGCAGGAGGATTATAATATTCAAACCCAGTGTGGGCAACTTAATGACTTAATGACACCTTTTCTCAAAGCAAAAAGTTAAAAAGAGCTGACAATATGGCTCAGTGGGAATGCCTTGGGTTCAATCCCCAGTACTGTAGGAAGAAATAAAAAAGGTAACTTGAAGCAGAAGTAAAGAGAATCGGGGCCGGGGAGACGGCTCAGTGGAATAAGCACTTCCCTGGCAAGCTCAAGGGCCTCAGTTCAATCCCTGGTTCCACCAAAAAATAAAATAATAATAGTAATAATAATAAAGCATCTGCTCAGGCAAGCTTAGGCAGGCACTGGGACCATGGTTCGATCCCTGGCACCACATGCTGACCCAGCCCTACCCTCAGGGTGGGCTAAGCTGCCCCCCCCAAAAAAAAAGATATTAAAAAAAACTATGGGGGGCCAGGGAGATGGCTCAGTGGAATAAGTGCTTCCCTGGCAAGTGCAAGGACCTAAGTTCAATCCCTAGCACTGCATGCCATGCCAGTCCCAGAACCCCACTGAAACCGGGCACCACCAGTGGTGTATGACTATAATTTCAGCTCTGGGGAAGCTGAGACAGGAGGATCACTACGAGTCTGGGCTGCGCAGCGAGACCCTGTACCAAATCAATATATGAATGAAAGATTTTTTTTTTTAAGTTTAAAAAAAAAAAAAAGCACTGTGGGAGAATGAGGCAGGAGGATAGCAAGTTTGTGCCCAGCCCGGGCAACCTAGCAGCTTAGTGAGACTCTGTCTCAAGATAAAAGATAAAAGATCTGTGAATACTGCTCAGTGTGAAGGCCCTGGATTCACAGCTCAGTGTCTGCCCCTCCAGAGCGGGGGTGTAGGGGGTCAGGTCACAGCCTCTGGGAGCCAATCAGATGTCTATCCAGCGATGAATTAACAGGATCTGGCAGAGCTATACAGTCAGAGGAAGGAAGCAACGGCAGCTGCAGCGCGGCCGGCTGGACCTTGAGCAGCATGCTCAGAAGTCAGACACGAAGTCCTGAGGATGGGCCTCCACTTCTAGGAGTTCCTCAGCCCAAATAAGTAAATGCAGACAGAAAGTGGACTCGAGGCTGCCAGAGCTGCAGGAGTGAGAATTGGGAGGGACCGCTAACGGGTTTCCTTTTGGAATTAAGCCAGTGGAGGCAGTTGAATGCAATGGACGTGCGCTAAAAGCCACTGCGGCTTACGATGTAAAATGGCTATTTTGAAATGAGTACTGGGGAGCTGGGGAGATGGCTCAGTAGAATAAGCGCTTGCCTGGCAAGCGCAAGGGCCTGAGTTCAATCCCTGGCACCGCAAAAAAAAAAAGAAAAAGAAAAGAAATGAGTGCTAGGGGCTTGAACCCAAGGCCTTTGCTCTGAGCTACATTCCAAGACTTTGAACAATTGATTAGCTTGGCATCCCGGAGCCTGAGGCAGGAGGATCGTCGTGAGTTTGAGGCCAGAGTGGGCTACAAAGTAAGCACAAGGCCAGCCTGAACTGCATAGCAAGACCCTGTCTCATAAAAAACCCCCTCAAAAAAAGGAACAAATTGTCTTGCCTCTCAGAGTGCTGGGATGACAGACGTGCTACCATGCCCAGCTGAATAAAAAAAAATTAAAAATAAAAAATTTAATAAATAGATTTGAAAAGACAGATTTAAAATATAGTCCAGGGGGGGCCCGCCCATTAGCTCAGTTGTTTAAGTGTCTGCTTAAAGGAGGCAGTCAGTTTCTTTGAGGGGTGGTTCCATTCCCACATACTCAAGGCAACCCAGACCAGCGCTGCTGCAGGTCAATGGGGAGCTACAAAAAAAATAAAATAAAATAAAATAAAATAAAATAAAATATAGTCCAGGCTGGACTCAAACTCATGGAAATTCTCCTGCTTCAGCCTCGTGAGTGCTGGGATGACAGGTGCACACCCACTGAGTAAGACTGCTATTTTTCTTTTTTTGGCAGTATGGGGGATTGAACTTGGGACCTTATACTTGCCAGCCAGGCACTGATGCTGCTGAGCTATATCCCTGGCCTAAGATTACTTTTTAAAAAGCCATACTGTCGGGGCTGGAGGGATGGCTCAGTGGTCTAAAGCACCTACTTGAAACAAGCTTGGCAAAGCACAGGGACCGCGGTTCGATCCCCCAGCACCACATGCCAGCCAGCCCCGCCCCCTGGTGGGCTGAGCTGGCCACACACACACAATAAATAAATGTAATAAATAAAAATAAATAATTAAAAAAAAAAAAAAAGCCATACTGTCTTGGTGGGATTATATTCACCAAGGAAGGGATTGGAGGGGGTCACGCTTGCTGGCCAGGAAAGAGCAAGGAGGAGAATGAAAACTGGGCACGAGGTTCTGGAAGAGCCATTTCAGGCAGAAAGGAACAATGGAAGCAGGCCTGGGAACAGAGGAGCCGCGTGTGTGCCAAGGTGTCACAGCTGGTGGCCAGGGGGAGGCTGCACGGCAGGAAGATGGACAGATGCTGCAAGCCAGGTCTCCACAGCAGCCTTCCGGTGGATGCATGCGAGGCAGGGTGGGATGAGGACTGGGGCCGGAGGCGGGAGCCCCAGCTGTGCTCCCTGGCCCTGGCAGCAGGATCCCCTGGAATAAAGGCCCAGCCTCCCCCACAGAGGGGAGGGCAGGCCCGGATGCCCGCCCGCCCGCCCGCGCAGACTCTGGCTAACAGTCCCTGCTTCACACCGGAGAAAAATGAGAACCAGGTGTGGAGCCGACCTCACAGCTCAGCTCAGCTGGGGACACACTTTGTCCCCCTTGTGCCTCTGCGGCCCAGCGCCCTCAGGTACAACAACAAGGCCCTGCCTGTATAATTTCTGACAAGATTAAAAAGGATAATACTTAAGTAGGTTGAGGCGCAAAATGAAAGTGCCAGGAGAGAACAATGCTTCCAAGAAGATTCACACCTTTCCTCCAGAGGTGGCTGCTAGCGCCCTCCAGCATCCCTGGCAAGCAGGGAAGGGCGCGCTGTGCCCTCTCTAACAAGGGGGAGAAGCAGCTAAGGGGAGGTGCCCAACAGCAGTCCCAGCAGCTCTTGCAGGAGGAGCCGGGAGGTATCAGGATTCGAAGAGCTACCATCCAGGACTCCAGCTTGTCCTCGCTGCTGACAGGTGAGAATCACTCTACCCGCCTTTTCCTGGGTTTTGTTTCCCAGTACTGGGGATGAGACCCAGGGGCTCTCTGCTGAGCTACGTTCCCAGCTCTTTTTTTTTTTAACTTTATTCTCAGACAAGGTCTCAAGTCACTAAACTGCCCAGGCTGGGCTTGAACCTGAGATCCTCCAACCTCAGCCTCCCAGAGTGCAGGGATGACAGGCATGAGCCACCACAGCTGCTGACTCTGCAGGTGAAGATACACCCCGAGAGCAGTCAAGTAACAGCTTATAACACAAAGCTCGGCCACCACGGACACAGCTCCTCCTCACTAACCGTCAAGCAGGATCTGACCTATGCCTCCACGGCCCTGTCCATCAATTGGGAAGGATATGCGTCCTTCTTGGGGAAACTGAGGCCCCAAAAGAGTCAGGGCCCAAGTGTTCCTTGAGTGGGGATCTAGCCAGGAGCCCTGGGGCTCCTGGAACTGCCTTCCAGCAAAGGTTTTGGGCAATATCACCCATGCAGAGGCCTAGAGGATATGAATGCTGGCAGCACACATAAGAAGCCAGAAAGCAAAGGCCAAAGCCAGCCGCTGCCAGGCACACCAAGACTCAAGGGTGTGAGCGGCAGGGCATTCGAGCAGTTCTGGAGCCCTGTGGCAGGGCACACCCGCCCCCACCACTGCCAAACACCTCTGCTTCTTTTTTCCCTCCCTGGCTCATGGATACTTGGTGAGAGGCGGACAGTGTCCTTTCCTGGGCTGAGCTCCATAGACAGCACATGGTGTGGAGCCCCCACTTGAACTCAGGGCCACTTGTCCTCATAGCAGGACTCTTGCCCCAGGCCTGCCTCTGCCATGACCCTGTCCCCCCCAGGTAGTCTTGAGGCCTGGGCTTGAGATCTTCCTTCATCCCCATTGCTGATGACCTTGAGAACCCTGGACTGGTCCCTTCCAGTCACTACCAAAGGAAAAGAGGCATTACACAGGATCCTTCTATGTCAATGGCTACCAACTTTAAGTGACACTGTCCCCTACGAAGCATGTGGCAAGGTCAAGACACATTCTGGCAATTAAGACTGAAGCTGGGGCTGGTGAGATGGCTCAGTGGTCTAAAGCACCTACTTAGAACAAGCTTAGCAAAGCAAAGGGACCACGGTTCAATCCCCCAGCACCACATGCCAGCCAGCCCCACCCCCTGGTGGGCTGAGCTGGCCACACACACACACACACACACACAAAGACTGAAGCTGAGGCAAGCACAAGGGCCTAGTTCAATCCCCAGTTCCACAAAAGAAAGACTGAAGTTGAGACAGACAGATGTCACCGGCAGCTGGCAGGGGGAGGCCGGGGATGCCGTCCGGCACATGGCAGGAGCTACACAGAGTGACCTGGCCCCACGCATCTTGGTTACTGTCTTACAGGACTAACAGTGAGGGGCCTCAGCCTCTGGCTGGACTCCTCTGTGCATTCAAGCAAACCCTCCAGTCCTCAGTCTGCCCACCTGTACAATGGTCCCTCCCAGGATTGCTGTAGGACTCCAGAAGACAATGTAAGACTCATTTTACCAAATGGCTTCACAAGGCAAAAGAAATAGGACTCCTATTGGTATAGAACGGGTGTCAAGATATAGGATAATGATGGATGAATACAAGGTCAGAATTACGTGTTTGTGAAAAAAAGCTATGTGTGATTATGTATGTTAAACTGGACATCATTGGGCAAGCCCATAATCCCAGCTTCTCAGGAGGCTGGGGAAGGAAGATCTCAAGTTTAAGGCCAGCCTGAGGAAACAGCAAGGCCCTGTCTCAAAATAAATAAGTAAAAGACAAAAAAGAACTTTAAAAAGTACATAAGGAACTGACATCTATGGCGATTTTTTTTTTTTTGTTGTTTTTTTTTTTTGTATTTTAGGGAAGGGTCTTCAGGATATTACTACTAGATCGGAATCACAGTGATCTGCCTGTTTACAGCCTCCCAAAAGCTGGGATTACAGGTGCACGCCACCACGCCCAGTCACTGTGGTGATGCTTTTTTCTTTTCTTTCTTTCTTTCTTTCTTTCTTTCTTTCTTTCTTTCTTTCTTTTTTTCTTTTTTTTTTTTTGCAGTACCAGGGATGGAACTTGCTGGGCAGGCTCTTATGCCACTGAGCTATCTCCCCAGCCCTGTGGCCATCTTGAGAGTTAAACAAATCAGTAACAAGAAGGCAAGAATGGGAAGCAAGATTGCCTTGCGAGGCCATTTTCACTGACTGCCCATTTAAACTTTAAAATATATATATATATATATATATATTTGGTATAGGGTCTCACTACGCAGCTCGCATTCCTAGTGATCCTCCTGTTTTCAGCCTCCTCCGTGCTGGGATTACAGGCATGTGCCACCACTCAGACTTGGTGGCCAGCTTAGTGTGCCCAGGGGCAGGGCCGGCATAGCCTGTGGTGCCAAGGATCAAACTCCAGTCCCTGCGCTTGCCTAAAGCAAGCACTTAGGCTGCTGAGCTACCTCACCAGCCCCCTAAACTTTCAATTTCTACATGAAACATAAACTAGGGCCGGGGAGATGACTCAGTAAAATAAGTGCTTCCCTGGCAAGCGCAAGGGTCTGAGTTCAATCCCTGGTTCTGCCAAAAAAAGAAAGAAAAAAGAAAAAGAAAAATAAACTAAAAGGCTGAAGTGTTCAAAAAGAGAAACTGAAACCGGGCATGGATAGGGGCCGGGAAGATGGTTCAGTGGAATAAGTGCTTCCCTGGCAAGCTCAAGGGTCTGAGTTCAATCCCCGGTTCCGCAAAAAAAAAAAAAAAGAAACCGGGCATGGTGGCACACATGCCTGTAATCCCAGCTGGGGAGACTGAGACAGGAGGATCACTACCAACTTAAGTTGTATGGCAAGACCCTGCATCAAATAAATAAATAAAAGTTTAAAAGCATGGGGTGCGGTTTGGCAAGGGAAACTGTGAGGGCCGCAGGCTCTCGGCCCACACTACTGCATCCACAGGGCTCAGGGCTGGCCCAGGGATCTGCACTTTAACACCTGGACACACACATGGATTGGTCAGTCACAAAGCAACAGCCCCAGGGCCAGGGATATGGCTCAGTGGCGTAAGCACCTGCCTGGCAAGTGCAAGGTCCTGAGTTCAATCCCTTGTACCACAAAAAAAAAAAAAAAAAAAAAAAAACACAAAGCAACAGCCCTACTACAATACTTTGCAGCTTGGCGGATCTGCAAGGGCTCACTTAATCTCAAGTGTGCACTATTCTGAGTTTCTGTCCCTTGAGGGCAGGCATGTATGCACTTAGCAAGCCATGGGTGTCCAATAAATATTAAATGGTACAATGATTCACCAGGAGTTAATACGCTTAGGACGTAACCAAAGAGACCTTGGGTGGAGGCCAGTAAAGGATCTCATGAAATTCAACTGCCTTAAAGATCTTCCAATCCTTTCAGTCAGGCTGGGGATACTCACAGCCTAGGAAAATATGCTGGCAGGCAAACCCATGGTCTCCCAGACACATCCAGGTAACAAAAGTAAACAGCACGACCCAGGGGTGCAGGGGGTGTCTGCCCCTGCACAAGTGGCTGCCAAACCATCAGTGCTCAGGAGGCAGGTGCTGAGTGAACCCCCAGTGCCCGGGTATGGACTCCAGAAAGCACATGGACTATGGCGGGGTCAATGCCTGGGAGTCCACAGGGAGTGCTTGCCACTGCCAGCCAGCTCGGGCTGGGACGAAGGGGAAGCTCACCCAGACCACTGAAAGGCGGGAGTCCTGAAGAGGCTCAGGCACTAGGCAATCACTCTGGACACCACAGGCTGGCCGGCCCCTCGCCGCCTCCAGCCTCCCCTGACATTCTAGCAACCCACTCTAAATCCCACCCCCGCAAAGACATCTCTAGATACCGTGTGCCACGGGGACGCCATCATCTCTGCGCCTCTTGTCATTACTTTTTCCACCTAAGAATTCTCATGTCAACAAACCAGTACCTGTTCTCCTGAATCCAACGTGGCAATAACAAGAAGAGACAAAGTCACTAGTGGATGAAAATTTTTCCTTAGGAAATAAAAGGTTTTGTGAGATTCTAATAGCACTGGGGCCAGCGAGATGGCTCAGTGGAATAAACACTTGCCTGGCAAGCGCAAGGGTCTGAGTTCAATCCCCAGTTCCGTCAAAAAACAAACAAAAAGATTCAATAGTACCGTTAGAAATTCAACATCCAAACAAAGCTTTTGCAAATGGGGAAAGAAAGAGGCATTGAAAGGAGGGTAGGGGAATGGGAGAAAAAAAAGAATCAAATTGTATCATATACAGGTATAAATTCTCTATGATGAATGTGACCATTATATGTAGTTAAAATTACCAATAAAACCTAATTCAAAAAAAAAATTCAGGAAAAAAAAATTCAGGTCTATGATGTAGTAGTTCTTACAGCTCTGATATTACAGCACTCTGTCCACACCCCCAGGGGACACTGGATGATCTCTGGGACATGTGTGGCTGTCACACCTGGGGGAACTCCAGGAATAGAGTGGGTGGAGGCCAGGACTACTGCTTAGCACCCCAGTCACCCCCACAGACAATAACCCGGCCCTGAATGTCCAGACTGCCAAGGGGGTGAGACCCAGACCTCGAAGCTTCTTTTCCTGTGAGTCATGGAAAAGGCCCCTCACTTCCAACAGTGAGGAAGTGTCCTCCCGCCTCAGGCTCTGCCGACATACCCGCTGATGGCCGCGGCCCCACAGTACTCACCGGAGGGGCACTGTAGCTGGCGTGAGGGTTGTTCTGGATCTCCCAGAGACCTTCATTGAAGCCTTTCCTCTTGTTGGGTTTCCCATACTTATCTTTGCATTTGTCATATGGGAACAGGTCCTTGGGTCCCAAGAAGGCTCTGGAGAAAGGACCCACAAGCCATTCCAGGTGAGCCAAGGCCATGCTGGGAGACATGGGAACCAAGCCCCAGCTGGGGACACTTACGTTTCGTGTGTACCAAAGAAGAAGATGGGATATTTGTTGGGTGGGGGCTTCACGGCACCATCGGCAATATCGTCAATCTGTAATGAAAGGCCAGTAGGGTGGCTCAGGGTGAGGGCCAGGAGGCAACTTCACATACCCAGGAAATCGCCAAGAAACCAGCCAAATTGCTTGGAGAAAAGCATGCTAGAAGAGGGAAGTCTTCAACCCAGTAAGACACAGCACCTCCCAAATGGGAATCTGTACTCTTCGATGCACCCCCTGATTGCAAACTTGCCCCCTCCATATCCCCATCCCAGAGAAAGCTGGCCCCAAGGCAGATGCTTCACCTGAGCACAGCCAAATATAATCCCCTGAAGCAACTGGGGGGGGCACCAAGGTCAGCTTCTAGAAACTTCTAGACCCTCCTATGAGATCCCTCCTGCAAAGAGGAGATCAGGCGGGGATCCCAGGGGATGCAGCTGGACGATCCAAGGATGCAGAAGGTGGGGGGTGGGCTGCAGGAGACAGGCCTGAGCATCTAGGAAGTCCCACCCTCTCCCTGCAGGCCATGGGCTCCAGCAGCTGTCAGTCACCTCCCCACAGGCGGCCAGCAGCCCCTTCACTTCCAATCAGATACTTGGAAATGTTCAGGGCTCTCTGAGCTGCAGATGGGGGGCAAGAGTAGGGAAAAGCTAGTGCTTGGGAAAGAAGAGAACTGGGAAAAGGAGGAAAGAGTCGAAGTTTTCGAGCTCTGGTCTCTCCCAAGAAAATGAGCACAATCTAACCAGTTGTAGTGATCGCACAGGTCCCAAATAATGCCTTCCCCACCTTCTGCTCCAACCTGCGTGGTTCCTGGAACCTTCCCTGCCTGGGACCCACCTCACTTCCTTCTCTGAGCTACATTTTTTCATCTTGGGCACCAGCACCCTGGTGAAGCAATCTCCTTCTCCAGGAGCTCCCCGACAAACCGAGTCAACCTGAAGATCAGTCTTGCCTTGCAGCGCTGCCCTTCCCTGCCAGCCGACTACAGCAGCCCTCTCCTAGCCACCTCCTGTACTGCCACTGATCCAGTCCTTCTTCTGCCCCGCCTCTCCATTGCTCTTTCCTCCCCGCTGCACCCTAAATTTTCTTCAGCCCTGGAGTGACTGGAGTTCTAAGACCTGAAGACGATAAAAGCCTCTGGGTCCCCACCATACACTGGGGCTCCTGTCATGGCCTCGAACCCCACCCACCTGCACACACCAGGGTCGAAACCCATTTTAGACCTGGAAAACCTCTGGAACCTAGTTTCATCCAAAGAGTAACCCCAAATCCGCATGGCCCAAGCCCCTTCCCTCAGGTGGTCAGTATGAAGTTGGTGTCTGATTTCAAGCACCAGAAAACCACTCCCTCCCCCACCAAGCAGCCCCTGCACCCTCCTCTATGGGGTACCCATGTTTCATTGGAAGCCAGTCCCCAGGGTCCCCTCAAGAAGCTTTATTCTTAGCTTCTGATCCCAGTGACCTTGTGAGCAGAATCCCCAATTCCATTCCGCTGCAGGACCCCCTCAGCACCTGCCTTGACCCTCAACCCTCCTCCATCACTGCATCGCATCCCCAGCCCCATCACCACTTGGTTTCTCTGGATTCCACCGTGAGGTCCTTTCACTCGGGGTACTCCAATCACATTTGACCCCTTTCCTGATCCCAGGTCCCCCAACTCCCTGATAGCTGACCACCTCCTCCAAACTCTGAAGTAACCCCTCAACCTTATGAACCCCAGCGAGAGGACCTCTCTCCCCAAGCCTCAACCTTCCGAGCCCCCGAAAACTCCCAGAACCTCAGAGTGGGGTCCCCTAGAACTCCGACGCCCCACACGGCCCCCTAAAACCTCCGACCCCTCAGAACCACGAAACGCTGTCCCCTCCAACCTCGGGCTCCTCAGAAACCCAGAACATGACCCCCAGAACTCCGATGCTCCCCGAACCCCAGGACACGGTCCTTCAGACCTCAGGCACTTACAGCCCCGGCGCGCGGGCCTCAGGCCTGGGGTCCCCCTTGTCCCCCTCCCCCGCCCGGCCCATCCCCCGCGCAGCCTCACCCGGGCGGGCCAGTGCGGATAGCCCTTCATCTTGGCGAATACTAAGTCCCCGGGCTTGAAGGCGTGCGGCATGCTGGCGGCGGGAGGCCCAGGCCGCGGGAAGCGGCTGAGGCGGCGGCAGCGGCAGCAGCTACAGCAGCGGGAGGCAAAGCCGGGGGCGGGAGCCAGACGCCGAGGGGGCGGGGGCGTTCGCACAGGCAACCGGCAGACGCGTACTTATTGGGTTCGGTGCCGCCGGAAGTCCCGCCCTCCTGCCGCCAGGGGCCGGAGACGCCGTCACTCAGTACCACGTGCGGGAACAGAGAAGGGCGGGGACCAATAGAAAGAGAGGTTGGTGCAGAGCAAGTTAACGGGATTGGATAACGGGCCGAACTAAGGGGCGTGATCCAGAAACCTAAAGGGAGAGGGAGGAGGTTATGGAAGGTGAAAGGGGAAAGGTTTGAGCCGCGCTACGGAGGCGAGGCGCTCAAGGAGTGCAGGGGTGGAGTTTAAGAGAGGTGGGCGGGACAGAGGGAGCCACAGCAGGAGGTGTATTAATAGGAATCAGACCATTGGATAGCGTGGAAAATGAGGCCCACTCAATGTAGGAGGCGGGTTATTGACAGCCCAACTGCTCCTCATAGGAGGGACTTAATGTAGGATAGCAGGTGTTAAGTATCAGCAGGGAAGCACCTCAACACGAAACGCATACTTTGCCCACAGGATAGAGGTTGAACCTGATGGTGGTCAGTCTTTGACTATCAAAAAAGGAAAGATTCAACTCTAGACATCTAAGGACCATTGCCAGCCCAGGGGTGGGGCTTATGGAAGGGGCGGGATCTTGGGAGCTTTGCGTAAACAGGCGTAAAATGGTCGGAACACTCATCTTTTCACTTACGAAAATTTTTTTACTCTTTGTGTGTGTGTGTGTGTGTGTGTGTGTGTGTGTGTGTGTAACCGGGGTTTTGTTTTTTGTTTTTTGTTTTGCGGAACCGGGGATTGAACTCAGATCCTTGCATTTGCCCGTCAAGCGCTTATCCTATTGAGCCATCTCCCCGGCCCCTCACTTACGAAAATTTTTGAGCACCGACTATATACTAAAGCCAGAAAATACAGGTTAATTCGGTTAAAAAAAAAAAGAGCCCCCCCAAAAAATTGAGCTCCACGTGTCCAAATCACTTAACAGCCCTGTGTTTCAGTCACTCTGTAAAATGGAACTCACGATTGTACCGATCCTGTAAGATTGCACAGATTGAGTGATTTTCCCCAAACACCAAATGCACTTGAAACTATGCCTGGAATAGAAAATACTAGATTTTGACACTGAGTCTGGCTTCGAGAAACTCAAGTCTAACAGGGCAAAAAACATTTTCTTTCCCCTTCTTTTTAAAATTAGAATTTAACTCAGTAGAATTAGGATTAGCTCGGTAGAATAAGCACTTACCTGGCAAGTGCAAGGTCCTGAGTTCAATCCCCGGTTCCGAAAAAAAAAAAGGAATACCAAAATTAGGACTTATTCCAAGTGAGGTGTGATGGTGCAGGTATGTACTCCCAGCACTCAGGAGGTTGAAGCAGGAGTTTCCCAGTGAGTTTGAGCCTAGCCTGTTTACATAGTTCAAAGCCAGGTCGGACTATGTAGTGAGAGACTTTACCTCAAAAAGCCCAAACAATAACAAATAAAATAAGGATTCATTCAGATTCATTCAAAGCAAGTAAAGGAAAAGAACCAGAGAAAGTACTTCCGAAAGGGTTGATTGGGGCTGAGGAGATGGCTCAGTAGAATAAGTGCTGGCCTGGCAAGTGCAAGGGTCTGAGTTCAATCCCTGGTTCTGCCAAAAAAAAAAAAAAAAAAAAAAGGGTTGATTGATGGATGTCTCTTGTCTGTCCTGGGATCCCACTGAGTGATCCTTGGAGAAAGTGAGTTTATGGGGCTGGAGAGATGGCTCAGTGGTCTAAAGCACCTACTTGAAACAAGCTTGGCAAAGCACAGGGACCGCGGTTCGATTCCC